TTTTTTTTTTTTTTTTTGCAGAACTGGAGATTAAACTCAGGCCCTTGCACTTGCCAGGGAAGCACTTATTCTACTGCGCCATCTTCCCAGCCCCAAATTTTTCATTTTTTATACAGTTTAACAAATTTTTCTCATTTTCAATTTTCATTTTTTTCTTTATTATACTTTCTTCATGGGTATATTCAATAAATGTGTTTGAATTAAAAGAAAAGGTTGCTCCTATTTCATCATATCTCCTTAAAATCCTCCTCAAGCCTTCTAGACTGATTTTCTATATCCCACTATCTTCTAGAACATTTATCATAGCATGCATTGAACAACGAAAGATGAATTATGTGCTTTTTATTTTTCCTGACATGATCCCTGCAAGAATCCTACAATATTTATTCTTTTCTTATCCAATTTTTCCTTTGGTCCCTGGATGAGCCATTGTAACTGATTAGTACAAATAAGCAATTTATGAAGGGCTACAGTCACAGTTGCCGAAAGTTGTCCTATATTCTAACTGTGGGTATGCAATTATAAACAAACACACACACGCAGAGAGAAACTAACATGAAAATACACTCTTGCTTTGCAGTGCTGGAGAAACTTTCCATTTCCAAAGGGACACACCTGTTTTCAACAGCAGCAAGCACATTCCTCCACTTACCTTATTGGGTTATAAATTCCAGTTCTCATCACTGTGGCTCGGAGAGGTTGCCTTTTCTATTTCAAAAACAGAGAAATATTTAGACGCTGAAATTAGTCTAATATTAAAGTTATATGACTCTTCTGAGGGTTCTGGGAAGAAGAAAATAATTACTTGGAAATACAGCATTTCAAGAAACCCTTTGAGCATTTCAGAAGACTGTACCCAACAAAGAAGGCAAGCAGGTATAGTGTAAGGCACAGAAAGTCTTTCCTGGGCCTGACGTGTTTCCTAAAGTACAATGGCAAATGTCAAACCCTTTGCATTGAACAGTGTGGCCAGCCCTCCTCACAAACTAAGGCACCTTTGTGCAGTAAGGGCCATGGGCACTGACTGTTCCTTCCAACTCTTAGTGTATTGGTAATAGAGGGAGGTTCAAGGGGAGAAAAGAAGCACTACAGGGTAATAAGTAAAGCCATTGGCAGTGATGGACCTTTTTGGAATAGATACAAAACATTCCAGCTTTTACACTTTAGGAAAAACAGAACAAAACCCCAAGTTAAAGAAAGATAACCAAAAGAGGATGGTAAAGGAAGAAACTGTGAAGCAAATAGTAGGTCACAAGATGCAGAACATTGGAAATACAGACTCAGCAAGCCTAGAACAGTTGATATACAATGGGAGCCCTGTCACAGTACCACACAGTGGTGTATAGGATTCCTACTAAATGAGGTAACTTTGGTTGTTCATGTGCTCCAAATCCATGTGAATCAATGAGTCTTGTGATTTGCTTCACAACACCGTACTATCTATGTGTATCCCATAACAGCATGTTTTATATGTTGAACATACACAATATGTATTGCAAAACAAAGAAAATGTAAAATGTCACCCCCATTTTCTATTAGAAGATTAAGTTCTGTCCTACAAAAATGAGGGCCAAGTTACAATATTCTCTGGTGTGGTGGGTGCTATCTGTGTCAGAAATAACCATGGGCCTGTTAAGCTAGCGGCCTGTGTATGGATACATTTTTTTTTTATTTCTCTAAAACTAATTTTCAGTTCAGTACTATCTTTCTCCCCTTACATGCACCCTAAACTTTTTACAGGTTTTGGATTTTTTTCCCATTGCGCATTAAAGTAGAATATTCAGTCTTGGTTACAGCCACCAAAAGCCCCCCTTCATCCCACTCTGGACTCTCAAAAACTCCACTGACCATAGGAAGCATGCAGGTCCAGATCATCTGCCTTCAGACTTGAATTCATCTCTTTGTATCGAATGTGATGGACAGAAAATTCTTCTCTTGTGAAAACTGACAACAGAGGTCCTAGGCACAGGTTAATAGACTACACAGGAAAACTCTCCCTCCTTTCTGTGTTCTTTCCTCAGCAGTACAAACATAGCTAGTCCTTCCCCAGGCCACATTCCCTTGCTTTTGGCACTAAATGGTTCAGGGTTGGATGTCATGGGCACAAAGCTAAACCACCCCTGGTGGGACCTTGTAACAACAAACCTTCCCCATAAGGAAACAATGAGGCCTTTATTATTTGCTGGGGGTTTTTATAAATCTTTCTAAGAGTATTTTCTTTTCCTTCCATCTTTTGATAAAGTTTTCTTCATCTCTCAATTGCACTATTTCAGAATGTCATTCCTGCCAGCACTATGGTCCTCCTTTAGTTTTTTGAATATCCTATTGTCAAAAGATCTTCCTAAAAGCTAGCTGGCTATTTTACTTTCCAACATAATACTTTAATGACTATGAATCAACTTGCCATTGAATATAAACTTCATAATTTGTTCTTTCCTTGCTAGGAGCTTCTGTCTTTCACTTCCTATAACAAATACTTTATAGTCCTTTACAGTTTCACATGTGGGTCCTTCCTTCTCCCTTGAAGGCATGTAACTTACTTTTTTGAATTTCTATCTTAAAAAATGTGCTTCAAGAGCATCCTAGAAGCCTTCCATATTCCCTTGTCCCTTTCATTGCCAGTATAAATGTATAATGCAGTGGAACTGCTTATGTGTTTATCTTTTCCATTAAACTTGAAGTTCCATGAAAATGAAAACATTTTACTTTTCATACTCCTTCAGAGCCCAGTATATTACTTGGATGAATGTTAAAAAATTTCCATGAAAAAATATATATCTGTATATACAAAATAGTTAGGATAGATACACAGCTACTTTCTCTTAGTTCAATGAGAAGAAAGATTTGGTCTAATAGTGTTTAGAGAAGATATCATGTCTGCATCTTGTACTATGAATAACTACTACAAAGACAATAATATGCAATTTATTAATTATTGTAACTGTCCTTCCAACCTGTTTTGAAACTCATTGCTATTTCTTTCTCAATAAAATTAATTTTTAAAAATTCCATAAGAATATTATATTAAAAGCAAACAAATCTGAGCAAGAAAGCCTTTATCTAGGCCATAAATATCATAGTCAATGTAGAATGCCCATTCTATAATATTCCAGTTAAATACATATGTACGATGGACAAATCATCAATGCATCCTAACTTCCTTGTCTCCAATGAAATATACTTTCCCTTCTTCTGCAAAACTCCTCAGGTCTATATTGAGCAACTACTTCTTGTTTATTTGATACTTGAAGTTAATTCTTTTGCTGTTGTTTGTTTTTAATCCCAAGAAACCCCTCATCCTGTAGTCATATTAGGAAGACCCCCAAGTTGACTCAGACCTGCGAGTCTCTGTATCTGTCTCTTTTTCAAAATCCATGTGAGGGCTCCAATGACAAGTGCCAACAGAATAACTCCAAAGATCACCAAAACAACAAGAGATGCGTGTCCTAAGGAAAGAGGAAGCATCAAGAGAGATGAAGATGTCCAAGCTGACAAGTCTAGATCCTAGTTTCTAAACATCTCTCTACACAGTTACTGCATCCCTAAAGTAAATCCAAGTCTTCAGAACTCCTTAGGACCTAAACTCTCTAAACAAGGCTGGAGCTAATTGGTCCCACGCTCACAGGCCCCGCGCTGTACCTGGTGGTGGTGGTGATTCTGAAGTTCCTGTAAGAGACGAAAGAGAGAGAGAGAGAGAGAGAGAGAGAGATGGAATCTGGGAGTAACAGAGTAAATATTTCTCACTCCTCTTGATAGAAACTCTAGGATGGTCTTCCCACCACATCCCTGAATCATGTTTTTACAGGACATGCCACAGTGCCACCCTCTCTTAGCTGCCCGCTGCTCCCAGCTCTTCCGGGTTCTTGGCACTGACCTGGGAGGCACTGCACTGCAGCGTCTTCCTTGTGTCCACAGTCACTGTGTCCCCACTCTTTGGAGTCACAGTCCCACAAGGAAGACTCGTTTCCTCTGCACTTCACATGGCTGAGCCATACAGGTCCTGCGCCCTGACCGAAAGCTGCTTCCTTCAGGGCCTGCACAGCCTCGCCGCAGCCCAGCTGGCGGCACACCACCTGCGCATCTTTGATGTCCCAGGAGTCGTCACACACAGTTCCCCAGGAGCCTTTGTGCCAGATCTCCACACGTCCAGAGCAAGGTGCAGTCTTCCCATGATCTTTAAGTCTTATCTTGTCTGAAAAATTAGAGACACTTAGATTATTTCTGAAGACACTAAGGTTTCTGAAATATTACAAGAGAAAAGAAGGGTTTTAAATTGTTCTTAAAAATTTGTTTAAAAACTCCATTTCATGTGCAAATGTTTACACCTAACCCTACAGAATGGGGGAAAATGTTTTGCCATATACTTCTCCAAAGATGAACTTTTATAAAGAACTCAAAAAAAGAAAAGAAAAGAGACCCAAATTTACAAAGTCAATAAAAAATGAGCATAAAAATGGATAGACAGAGAAATGCAATTGGCCAATAAATATGTGAAAAAAAGGTTGAACATCATTGGCCACTTGAGAAAAGCATATTAAAACAATTTTAAGGTTCCATCTCACTCCAGCCAGAAATCAACCAATAAGAAATGCTGGCAAAGCTGTGGGCAGAAAATAACCCTTATTCTTTGTTGGTGGTAGTATAAACTGAAACAATCACTATGGAAAGCAGTGTGGAGATTTTTTACAAAACTAAAAGGAGAATTTCCATTTGACCCAGGTATTCACTTCCTAAATGTCTTCCCGGAAGAGGTAATGTCTCCGTTACTCTTCTCTTGTTGCAGGGCAAATACCTGACACCCAAAATGAAGGAAGGAAAGGTTTATGTAGCTGACAGTTACTGGAGGTTTCAGTCCATATTCAGCTGGCTCCAAGGCAGAGTGGCACATGGGAGAGAGCAACCTTTCATGGCGGTGGCAAAGAGCAAGAGCGAAAGGAGGAGGAGCAGCAACATTGGCAACAATGGCTACAGAGAGCAAGTCTCCTTTAAGTTTCATTCAGGCTATCTGCGCCAGGCTGGATGTAGTACTCACACCCATAATCCCAGTGGATCATGAGTTAATCACAAACTCTAGAAGTCTGCCTCATGAATACATGAGGCTTTGGGGAGACAACTAGACACAAACCATAACAGGTAATAATATCATACTACAGAGATGTAGGCATCCATGTTTATAGCAGCACAATTCATAATACCTAAATCTTATAAATAGCCTATATGCTCATCAATGGATGAAAGGATAATGACAATGTATTTATAAACAATGGAGCACTAGTCTGCCACAAAGGATAAACATGAGGCATATGAAGAAGAATGGATTCACCTTAAAATCAAATTCTTAGTGAAACAAATAACACACATACATTTAAACATTGCATGGTTTTCCTTATATTTAAAAGTTAATATATTAAAAACCATGAGATACAAGATAGGTAATAAGAAAAGAGAGTAATGAAGAAAAGGTAATTGTTTTCTGAGTATTTTTCTCTGTTCATTTCTAGTTTCACTCCAATAGGGTATGAGATCTCACTTGGCTGGATTTCCATTTCTTGAATATATTAAGTAAGTTCTTTCCTATTGCTATGAGCATGGTCTAGCTGGATGAGTGATTTCAGCATGTGCTCTTCAGTCAGTGGTAGACCACTGTGTCAATCTGCATAGTGTTCTGTTTGTGTGCTTTTATGTTTACCTTATAATTGTGTTTTTGAAAAATTTTATACTCTATATTGATTCAAAAAGGTTATTTATAAAAAATATAGGAGAGGCTGGAAAATTGCCAAGTAGACTCACAGTTTAAGGAAGTGTAGAATGAAAAAATAACACAGGACTGACTTTTTTAGCTGTTTTTTTATATCAGTGTAGCAAGATAATATTTGAATATTATTTGATAATATGTACTATGCAGATGCAATAGCAATTATTTGTAGTTTACCTATCCTGGATAATAAAGTCTAAGAAGGTAAAGTATTGTGGGAATAGGAATGTAAAATCTAATGTGCTTTCCAGAATGTGATGGCAGAGCTGTAGGCTGAAAATTCCATGGGGACCAGGGAACACTCACTGTCACATGTGATCCAAGTCTCCTCAGCAGGGCTGGCATATCTCTGCTTCCATGGAGTGGATGTGCATTGCCACAGTGTGTCAGGTCCTGTCGGACACTGCACCTTGTCCACCCACATGAGCCTGGATAGTGCTTTGTCTGAAGACGCAGCCTTGATGGTTCCATTGTCTCCGCAGTGGAGGTGCTTGCATACAACCCCCACAGTGGTCTCTGACATGTCGCTCTTGCCCACGCTGCCCCACACTCCACTGTAAAACACTTCCAGACGTCCTGAACAGGGGCCCTTGCTGTTCTCTCCTGTGAGCCTCAGAGACATAAACTCTGAGGTGAAATACAGAGTTAGCAGTTAAACACCTCTTGAGATTTTGAAGAATCCCTCTCTTTACTGTAGCATGAAAGATGTTTTTAAAATAGACACACTTTGTCAACTACTAGTATTTGTTCAGTAACTTCTGGATGATTTAGTTGGTTTTAGGAAACTATAATATTTATTCTATCATACTTTCTGATATTCTAGTCTTTAATTTTCTTTTTTTTCAATTTAAAACTATTTTACAATGCCATCAGTGAGGTTTTCAAGACCCACTTAAAAACTGTCTCATTGCTATTTGTTTCTCAATAAAATTAATAGAAAATAAATAAAAAGAAAAATGACAAAAAAGACGCACTTAAAACCTCAGAGCTTTCCTCTAGTTACTAGTTTGGATTTTCTCATGAACTTACTGTAATTTTAACCACAAAGATATTACTCTGTCCATTTTATTTTATTTTTGCTGAACCAGGGATTGAACTCAGGCCCTTGTGCTTGCCAGGGAAGCACTTACTCTATTGAGCTATCTCCCCAGCCCCAAATTCTTGGGCTTTATTTTCTTGTTCATTTTCAATTGATACATAAATATTGTGCATGCTTTGCTTGGCGGGGGAGGTTTGTGGTCAAAGTGAAGAGTTCAGCATATTCAGGTCCTCAAGTGCTCATCACTTCTGTGTTTGTTTCCTTTTTTGACAACAGTCTTTGAAAGTTAAGATTTGGTGAGACACAGACACTAAAGCCAGTATTCTGTATCCATTGTCTTAGAATGAAATACAGTAAGTTCCCAACTTACAAACACTCAGGTTGTGAATTTTCACAGATATGAACTGACCTTGCATCACAAAGAGTTGCAGATGCAAACAGATTATGGATGTAGCTCCCATATCTGCTGGACATTGTTGCAGTTGTGCTGTTGTGTACTCACTGGATACTGTGATGGTTTACGGGAGTTTAGTACAGTCAGGATCTTACTGTATTCTTGTATTGGTTTTCTTATGCTTTACCTTTTATCTTTGTGTCAAAGGTGTATAAGTCTCATTTTTGTTTGACTTACAAACCAATTCAACTTAGCATGTTCTCTCAGGATGAAGCTCATTCATCAGTTGGAGACCTATGGTATTTTCCTTTTCTGAAACTTCAGTTTTGCTGTGCATGTCCTATATTAGATTTCCGTCATTAGCTAAGAATCAGTTACTATGCCTGCAAAAATGTTGCTCAGCAATAATATTGTTTTCTTCTGTATATTACAACTGTAATATATTACAGTTTTCTTCTATATATTACAAAGATAATTGTTTCTATTTCACACTAGCTTATCATGAATACATGACAACAGCAGTGACCTTTTAAAAAGTCTTGTTTATCTCATTGAACAGCCACCTAAGCATGGTGATTATCTCTGTTTCTGTAGAATGATTCATGGAACATGACTTTTGATCTTATTACTCTACTTTAATACTATCATTTTTTTTCAAGTGTTGGCCGGTAATTCTTCTTAAATATTCAGCTCTACATCTATGCATAAGACTATTTGATTATTTAAATTTTCATGATACCCAAGCCTATTCCTGGGTTTTGCTCTTTATACTATTGTACTACCTTGCAGATGAAGCAGCACAAACCTGCCAAACACCTGCAGCCTTAACTCTGGTGATTATTTCCTTAAATATGATTTTCAAGGAACACTTTCGAATAACTGTAATTTCCTTCACTCCCCTTTCTCCCACCTCAGTTTTGTCTATGTGACAGTGACCAGGCATAGGTGTGAAATTTACCTGAGCAGATAACTCCTGCATCCTCTTTATGCCTGCAGTTATGCAGCCCCCAGCCATGGGAATGGCACTGCCAAATATGTGATTCTTTTCCATTGCAGTTTATCTCATCCAGCCAGATGGGTCCTGCTCCTTCCCCAAAGTGAGCAGAACCAGTAGCATTAATGGCCACTCCACAGCCCAGCTGTCTGCACACCACATGGGCATCACCCAGATCCCAGCTGTCATCACAGATGGTGCCCCAGGAACCCTCGTGGTAGATCTCTATTCTTCCAGCACAGTGACCATTTCCATTTACTAAGCGAATTGGACTGTTTTCTGGAAAAAGGAACAAAATACTAATGAAAAGCATTCTTAAGACTTGAGATCATTTACAAGGCTGGCCACAGTTTCTTACCTAGGCAGGGAACAGCACTTTCTTGTGGGAGGGCAGAGCTGGTTGGTTCCAGAGATGATGAATTGCATGGCAACAGTGTCTGGGACTGGTTTCCTACAAACACCAAACTGCTCCGTCATATAAGATGCAAAAGGTTAGGGTGAAGAATGGGCATCAGATGAAATGTTACACAGAGTTGAGGATGAACATGATTTTCAAGAGAGGGGAAGGTGGGTAGGTCAACAAGGCTGGGCTTAAATCAATGTTTTGAGAAGAGTTTAGCCCATAGTGAGCTCTAGATAGCAATGAGGTTCATGAAAACTAAGTACGCATCCTCTAAAAAGACAAATGAGGTTAGTATTTGGACACACCCCTCACTACCCTCCCAATGACTACCTTTCTTCTTTGCACTGTAGGTTTACCTGGTCATAAGGCCCACCACTGTAGGAAGTGCTCATCACAGCCTGTCCTTTTTTCCTCTTACCTGAGCAGATGACAGAGGCCACTTGGCTTTCAGAACACAGTGAAGCACCGAAAGCAGTTACAGGGCAGTCTCCCATGTGTGTCTCAGTCCCATTGCAGTGAAACTTGTGTCTCCAGACCTTGCCATTTCCACCCCCAAAATGTGCTCCTTTTGGGATAGAAAGGGCTACTCCACACTTCAGCTGTTGACATAAAACATGGGCATCTTCCATGGTCCAATGAGAGCTGCAGAGAGATCCCCAGACTCCAAACACCTTGAGCTCCACTCTTCCCTCACATGAGGACTTGCCATTGGCAAGGCGAATTTCTGTGTATCCTGGCAGGAGACAGAGCTTTAGAAAGATGGCTGTGATGACCTAACCCTTCTCCCTTCCCAGCATAAGAACAAAGTGAAGATGCTCTCAGGGTCTCACTTGAGCAGATTACGCCAACCTCTCTGTTGTGGCCACAAGCCCCATCTTGGCGAGGTGCGAGTGGGCAGAGTGAAAGATGGGACTCGTTTCCTTCACACTGAAATTCTTCAGCCCAGATCTGCCCTTTCCCTTCTCCAAATTGAGCTCCCCCTAGGATGGAGATGACTGAGCCACACTGAAGTTCCCTGCACAGGACACTGGCAGCTTCCAGAGAGAAGTCGGAATCGCATACGGAGCCCCACTTGTCCCCGTGCTTCACTTCAACACGACCAGAGCAGGGGATGTCACCTCCAACCAGCCTGGGCTCCCTGTGGGCTAGAAAACAATAATTCAGTAAAGAAATCATAATTTCTATATTTTCTCTTATTATGGGATGAGGAAGTGGAGTGAAGACAGGAGAGGGTGGGCCAGAGCATGTGGTGATCTTCCATACTCGTTCCTCTTCCATTTTAGCCTAGAGATGAGCATAGACAATTCTAGACGTTCCCATTCCCCCTCAGGCTTCCCCTGGAAAACTAGAAAATTTCTGTTCCTGCGCCCAGTTGTCCCCACCCAGAATTAATCGCTATTTCTTTCTAGTGTTCCACTCATCTATTCACACGCAAAATGTATCTAGCTACTGTCTGTCAGTTCTCCGCTCACTGCAGTCTATCTTTGGCCTCAACTTTTTCTATGGTTCTAATGTAAGATGTTTCAATATATTTCGATTTTCAAAATGAACATCACTGGGGGACTGCCCCTTAGCTCAGTTCTTTAAGTGGCTGCTTCAACAAAGCAGTCAGGCTCAGGTTGCTGTGGTTCGATCCCCACAACTCCAGCCAGCCAAACCTGCCCTGAAGGCCTTCGGAGCAAAAAAAAAAGAACATCACTGACATCATTATGCTTGATGTGTGTGGACTTCTACTCTCCTTTTCTCTCCTCTTTTTATTCTGACCCCTATTCTTCAACTAAACTCTTCCTTGAGTCATTGCCCTGTCCTTGACATTCTCAACTCCATGGACATCTCTCAACTACCAAAAAGCACAGTTTTATATGCACTTTTTTCATTAGGTTTATGTTAATAAATGCTCCTGTTTTAACACCTGGAACTGAAGGTTCTAAAAGTCCAGGAAGTAATGTCTGATAAGCCTACTGTATTCTTTACTCAATCAGTAATATCCAAACCACAGTGCAAACCACCTGCACATGAACCAATTTTTATATCTCTACAAGTTTCAATAATAATAGTGATATAGTGAACATTGGGTGAACATCTATTAAATATTTGATTTTTTTTTTCGTTTTTTGCAGAACCAGGGATTGAACTCAGGCCCTTGCACTTGACAGGCAAGTGCTTATTCTACTGAGCTATCTCCCCGGCCCCTTAAATATATGATTTTAATAAACATTTAGCAAGGATCATGTCAATTTTTCAAAATGCTTGAGAGTACAGTTACTACTATAACTGTAACTTTACAGAGTAGGAAGTTAAGCATAGAGAGGTATGTCAGTTTGCGAAAGTCACATAAAAAGTTAGGAGGGGTCAGGATTTGAAATCAGGCAGTGTGTTGCAGAATATAGAACTTTAAACTGACAGTGTCTATCACTCTTGCAACACATTTCTTCTCTATATGCACTGCTGTTGCTTCACTGTTTTGTCGTTATCTGTCATGTAAAAATTTCCAGTACCTTTCCGAGTGGGCTTCCTTCTAAATCCTCTTTCCAAGCAATCAATCCCAGGATCATCCATACATTGCTAACTTCCAAATATTTTCAGATTATTTCCTTGCCTTCAATATAATTCAATAGGTCCTTAACAGTTTGACAGTAATTTATCTTTCCTGAAAACACTATTACATTTCTACACTGCAGTCTGACTTTGTGTGAGGCATTTGAAGGACAGGCTAAAATCTGTCACAAAACCTAGTCTACCCTTGAGGCTGGATCGTTTTTATATTATAATTATAATTGTTACCACTGCAGCTCATGTTTACACATGCTGTGTGATTCCCAAGAGGGTGACATTATCATTGCATCAATTTACTTGCCAGGGATGAGTGGGATGACACTACAAAAAGCCTTGCATTCTTTACTGTCTCTCGGCTATTAAAATTAAAGAGGGTAAACACTAATTTCTCAGTATATTTTGATATACTCTACTGTTTGCTTAGAAGGTCTGCTATCTATGACTACTAATCATACCAAATGTTCCAGCCAAAACATATTTGGAGGGCCAGCGGTATAGCTCGGCAGACTAAGTGCCTGCTTAGGTAAGTGCAGAGGCCAGGGTTCGATCCCTGGCTCCATATGCCATACTGTCCCTGTCCCTGGGCGCGCTGAGCTGGTAATGGAGTCTGGGCATGGTGGTACAGGCCTGTAATCCCAGCACTTGGGAGGCAGAAATCAGGAGGATCACTACGATTCTGGGCTGTGTAGTGAGACCCTGTACACACATACAAAAAAAAAAAAACCTAAAAAAATAAAAAAAAAAAATTTGGACATGCTATAGTTTTTGAGGCTTGTGCGCCTCTATGAAAGACTTTTTTGTTTATATTGTGTGCACCTGCTTGGAAAGTGCTACTTCTCTTACAGGCTGCTCAATTTCTCATTCAGATCAGTAGTTTTCCAAATGAAGAAAGTGTAAAGCATTGAAACAATACAGCAATAAAATCACATTTTAGGACTGAGGAATTATGAGTCATGTAGTATACGTGAAACTTAAAGTGCAAAAAGAAAGTGTACCAGATATCAGCACCGGAGCTCCGAGTGTGAAAGTGTTCAGGGCCAGCTAGAAGCAGACAGCCATCGAGGTACGTATGCGTTTCCTTTCACACACTCAGAGATCATTGGAATTACTTAGCAAGTGCAAATTCTTTCAATTAGTTAAAAAAAGAAATCTATGCAATGAACATAAATATTCTGGCAATTGTAACATTTAAGAAGGAAAAATAGTTTAGCGTAAGCCTACTCTCTGGCGTCACTCATCTTTATGTTTCCCAACTTTAGCCTTAGCGAATTTGCCCTTTCTGATTTCTCTTCAGATCATGTAAATGGGGGTTAAAATGCTGCAACATGACTGTATTCTGTTTCACAGCACTATAGAATACCTCACTGTTTCAAAATCTCACCAAATACTTATTAAATCCCTTAAAACAAATTTGGCATGGTGTTGCTTTTTAGTCATAAATTTTGAAGCAAATGATGTTTTCCTTTTTTTTAATTTTTTTTTATTTTTCAACAAATAATACACTACATATATTCTTCTTAGTGGTTAATTGCTGTACAAGATGCGGACTTGTGATCCTATTTACAAACACCATTAGAACAAATCATTCTATTCATTAAGAGAATGCAACTATATATCTATCCTAACCTCTTTGAATACACAGATACAAAATGGACATTCATCAGTATACCCCATTTTTTCTAAGTTCTGTTATTGAATATAATAGGTGTGTAAACTCAGCAAAATATTCTAAAAGAGTCCAGTAGCCCATAATAGCATTGGGTCTTCTGTTTAACTGGCAATGTCAGAAATTATTGACCTGAGTCCCCCACAGCTCAACTTAACAGCATGGCTTTATTTCCTATATTTCGTCTTCATACTTTTCTACTGGAGGGTTAAGACCAAGGTAAAGCAGGATCTGTGCAACAAGAGTTGTAGCTGCAAATGATGTTTTCTGATACAGTATACTTCATTTGGAAATCCCTTGGCTTCTTGCTTTGGGATTGTTATGAGCAGGAAATGTCTGAAAGGCATCATTGATTGGTACGACACCATTCCTGTCACAAATTTGGACACATCTACATTGTTAAATAAAGGCAATTCCTTAGATCAAACCTCAAATGCACATTTCTGTTTCTTATGCCTCACTCGGCTGGAGCAATTTTAAGCAAAATAAATCACAAGCAATGAAAATTAGACCAAAAACAAATAAAAACTTTTATCTTCCATGATTAAAGCTTGTTTAATTTTTAAAAATATTTATATATTTATTGGTACAAGGTCTCACCATGAAGTTCAGACTCCTAGTGATCCTCCCATCTCAGCCTCCCTAGCACTGGGATTACAAGACATGCGCCACCATGCCTAGTTTTGGGGACCGCAGGTTGTGCCTGGCAAGCATAGCATGCAGTACAGGGGACTGAAGTCGGGTCGCACTTGCCAGGCAGGCGCTTAGTCTGCTGAGCTATCTCTGAGCCCTAAAATTGTTTTATACTTGAAAATAAGTCATTTCTGTCAGCATCCTCATTTCTTTTCTCTGAAAATACTTGTGAGTAGGACAAAAAAGGAATTCTTTTACTCAAAAAGTAATTTAGACTCAATTTTCAGCCCTTATGTTATGAATCTGATGAAACATATCTACTCATATCATGGGTTGGCTTCCTTATATTTCTTAGTCTGTGTACATAGTTAGAATATTGGAAGCTTAACTCCTTAAGAGGTGTTTTCTTGTCTAAAATTATGCCACAGCATTTATTTAAAGTAGAAACCATTAAAAGAATTTTGTAGCCAAATTTATCTCCTTTGATTAACAAATTACACTTTCTCCAGGCAATGTACGTTTCTTTATTTTTTTGGTACCAGGGATTGTACTTGGGACCTTGTGCTTGCCAAGCGGGCACTTATTCCCCTGAGCTGTATCCCTGGCTTGCTAAGTTTATTTCTTTCTCTTAAAAAATTAGCAAATCATAATTATAAGAAATAATTAGAATGGATTTTCTTGTTTAGTAATACATCAAAATGCAGTATTATTTTTAAAAGTATAAATACATACATTTTTATCATTTGGTATTTATATCTTGGAACTAACGATTAAAAAAAAAAAAAACCTAAGTATCTTATCCCCAAATTGAGCCTTAGCAAACAATGACATTGATGGCCCACATATAAACTCAGTGAGTGTCTTTAAAAAGCACAATTTAAGTTTTTTGGTCTTTTTCTCACATCCAAGTCTAAAATGTCCTTAAAACAGTGTCCCATGATTAAGGGAAAGGGGTTGATCTCAGCATAAATCAACCTATGTAAATATTCCCTGTGACTTCAGGTGTTTTCACAGGACACGGTTTAAGACTAGAAACCTATTAAGCGGGCTGGGAGATAGCGCCGCGGTCTAAGTGCCTGTCTGGCAAGTGCAAGTCCGGAGCTCGATCTGCAATGGCCCAGCCAGCCATGGAAAGTGGGCGTGGTGGCGCACGCCTGTAATCCCAGCCCTGGGGAGGCTGAGACAGGAGGATCACTACGAATCTGCGCTGCATAGCAAGACTCTGTACCCAATAAATAAATGAAAGATTAAAAACAAAAAAAGAAGAAAGAAACCTACAAAGATTGGAGAGAACTGTTTTATTGCCTCTAACAGTAGGTGACATCGACCAATGATAATGCATTTTTAAAATCAATCCAAGCTTTTCTTAACCCATGTCAGCTCATTTTGTAATCAATCCAAGGTTTTCTTAATAAATCCAATGTCAGTAGAAATTGAGTTATGAAGATGTGTACCCCCTTCAGAAACACACAGATGTGATGATGAAAGATAAAAATCCCTGGAAGAGCTGCTCCAGCTGCAGCACCTGTACCTACCAAGTGCAGGGTACCAAGGCCACCCTGAAGGCAGAGCCTACAGCTCACGTGGAGCCTGCATAGCTGCAAGGCAGCTTGTCACAGCTGCCTACCATGATTTGATAGTTTTTGCAATAAAAGAATTCTGCATGCTTCTTGGTGACCACAGCAACTAAAACAGACTTCAACTGCTTGTCTATTTGACTTACTTTAAATCATAAAAAGTAATTTTTTTCTATATTAGCCACTGTTTTGTTGCCTGCTTGGCCCAGCTAAATTTCATGCTAATTTAAAACACAATAGGAAAATACATAAAACTTTCTGGGTTTAGAAAGAAATGATCTGACACAGAAATATATTTATGCAGGCCCAGAACATGCAAAATCTCTCAAAATGAATTGTATATTAGATTTAGCATGACACAGTGTCAATATATATTTAGTACATACATTATGAAAACATATCAATTCTTGTGTCAAATATAAATGCTATAACAAAAATTAATTGGACTAGATTGATTTTAAAAACAAATTGAGGGACCGGGGAGGAGATGGCTCAGTAGAATAAGTGCTTCCCTGGCAAGTGCAATGGCCTGAGTTCAATCCCCAGTTCTGCCAAAAATAAATAAAAATAAAAATAAATAATAAAAATCATTGCAGTGCTACACTGAGTACAAAATTTGCACCTAAATATGAAGGTTGAAAATAAAAGAATAAAAATCAAAGAAGTGGTCAAGATCTTAATAACAGAGACAGTTGAGTCAGAACAAAAAGTATTGGAAATGTGGAGATTTTTTTTTAATTTTTTTTTTATTTATGTGTGTGTGTGTGTGTGTGTGTGTGGCCAGCTCAACCCACCAGGGGGCGGGGCTGACACAGAAATATATTTATGCAGGCCCAGAACATGCAAAATCTCTCAAAATGAATTGTATATTAGATTTAGCATGACACAGTGTCAATATAGTGGTGCTGGGGGATGGAACCGCGGTCCTTGTGCTTTGCCAAGCTCGTTCCAAGTAGGTGCTTTAGACCACTGAGCCATCTCGCCAGCCCCGGAAATGTGGAGATTTTGAAATACTCAAATGAACGATCCACAAAGGCTTCAGTACAGTCATATGGAGAGCTGGGCCGCAGGTCATCACGGCATCAGTTCCCCAGTTATGTGTGCAGCTACTGGTGTGCCCAATGGGAAACCTTCACCCTAACATGTTTTTATTTTTAAGATATAAAAATCAAAGCCAATTGAACTCCTGTCTGAGGAATTTAAAGACCAAACAAAATCTGTAAAGTCAGAAGTTAATTAATGGAGACAAAGTTCATGATGTAGAAAAAAAGGGATATTTTAAAGAATACAAATGCTGATTCCTTAAAATAAGTTAAACTATTATTCAATCTTGTCAATTAAAAACAAAAATAAATGCATATAATAAATAAAGAGAAAGATAGATGTCATAGATACTGAAGCAGTTCAGAAAACTTTTTACAAATTTGAAATTATGGTCAAGATATTTTACTAAGTGGAATTTCAACATACAGACATAACCTCAGTGTAACAAAAGAGTTGAATCTTATATATGAATGCATTTTATTTTTTCTTACATAAAATATATCTTAAATGACATGTAAATGTCTGAAGTACGTAAGTTCTGAGGAAAAAATAGGAGAACTAAGGAGAATAGTGGAGACAATATTTCCTCTTTTCTAAAGAAAAGAGGTGATTTTTAAAATTGTATTTTGGTACACTTTTGACAAACATAACAATCACATTCATCAAAAGGAATTTGAAACTGTACATAGTAAATCTTAATTCACTTTTTTCTTCTCTTTCCTTCAAAGTTTTGTAAAAGGAGAGGGGGAGGATTCATATTTTCATGCTTTGAGCTTTAAACCTTGACAATATACTTTCTAGTCAAGACTTAAAATCAATATAATAATTTAAATCTCTGTCTTAAAGAAATGCAGAAGGATAGTGCCCAGCTAACCCCAAGTAAACACAATTTATTAAGAGGACACACCCAGGAGTGAACCGAGCTTGAGAGGCACCTGGGAGGTCATTAATTTGCAAACTTGTGGGATGTCACATCTCCACCTCATGACTCTGTCTCGAAGTATCAATTTTCTCTTATACTATTTTCTTTAATATCTTTTTATGTAATAAATACATCAATAAAGGCATTATTTAAATAAAGTTACCAGTTTTGTAAACATGAGTAACACAAAATACTAATAATTATCCACAGCTTAGTGCGCTCATAGCTCGCTTTTAAACTTTCAAGAGATTGCCAGGAAATACCCACATATGTTCAGAAAGAACAAAATTCTTTCCCAGTGAAACAGAGGGGCTAAGGTTAAGTTGTAGCAGTTTATCCAGCATACTTACTTTTTAAGTTATTTAGTGACATTCTCATAAAATACATATTTAAGAACTGTCTTCAAATTTTTAATTCTCTTAATCTTTTAGACTTCCATTGATTTAAAAAAATTACTCAAAATCAAAATCAGCAAAAAATAGTATTTCAAGATATAAAATAAATTGTAAGCTAAGAATCTCATTGTAGAATTTGATAGATATTTTCTGGATTCATGGCAGATCTAGTCCTGGCAATCAATGCTTGTTTGCAATTTTGGAACTATTACTAAATATTAATATTCTTAGAATATAGCTTTTTCTTTGCAAATAGATTAAAAGTCTTACCTGAACAGGTAACTTGGGCTTCTTCATTGGGATAGTCCTGTCTACCCCAGTTCCAACTCTTGCAGTCCCAAAGAGAAGTTTCATTTCCATTGCAACTCTGTACCTCCATCCACATTTTTGTTGCTTTAGTTTTAGAGTACAGTACTGAAGATGTCTGAACTGCAGACCCACAACCTAGCTGTCGGCAAACTATGTAAGCTTCCTTCAGTGTCCAGCCTCTGCTGCATACCTTCCCTACAATTTGCTGAATTTCTACCTCCACTGTCCCAGCACAGCTGCTGCCTCCACCTGTAAGTCTCAGGTTCAGATCTGATCCATCTGCAAAAGAAACAGAAAAGTAGACTACGGACTTCTGTCCTGTTTAGCAACCAAAAGATGGTTTTAGTTTTCTTCCTTCCCAGATACTAAGAGACTAGAAATTGTGGTTTAACTTCTTTCCTGATATTTTAAGAAACAGTAAATATAGACCAAGAATTTGATTAGAAATAGTACTGAACTTTCAATGATACTTTAAAATGTCACTGGCTCAATAATATGAGCAATTCTTCCACAAAGGAGAGTCTTTTTTTTTTTTTTTTTGGCGGAGCCAGGGATGGAACTGAGGCCCTTGCGCTTGCCAAGGAAGTGCTTATTCTACTGAGCCATCTCCCCAGCCCCTAAGGAGAGTCTTATAAGAGTGCAAATCTCTGATCTGAAGGTGAATTTCAAATTTGATGTGCTAATCTAAATAGTTATTACAGAGAATACAATTAGACAGACCTTCACACTGCTTGAATGAAAAATGTATCAGAGATTTTTTTTCACTATGTTAAAATAATTTCCAGCAACAGATTTGTTAGGCATTCCCACTGTTTAACTCTCGAAAGCTATTCTTACTCTGAAAGTACACTGATCCTTCCCTGTCTGCTTTTGTGTTTGTTTGTTTGAACTTACCAGAACATGTCACCCCAGTATCTTCATTATGAGTGCAAAAATGTTTTCCCCACTCTTGGTGTCCACAATACCAGAGAGCAGATTCATGTCCATCACAGGCAACGTGGTTAAGCCAAATGTTTCCAGAGCCTTCGCTGGCATTTACTCGACCGGTAGCAGTGATGGCAGCTGGACATCCTAGTTGCTTGCACACCACAGCAGCATCATTACTGTCCCAGCTGTCGTCGCATACTGTCCCCCATTCTCCTTGGAATTTCACTTCCAGTCTTCCTGAACAATTATTGGCTCCATCTACCAATCTCAGGCCCATATCTGCTCCCTCTGTAAAAGGAAACTACAAGTTAGTTATTAGCTAACTAAATACCTCAAAAGAAAGAGACACATAGAGGCACAGATCATCAAGATACACTTACATGGAGAATTATTAAAGACAGAAGGAGGATAGGTTAGGTAAGAAGACAGAACTTGCCAGTGTAGAGAGCCATGAAGTCTCTCTGTCTCTGTCTCTGTCTCTGTCTCCCACTCTCTATTTCTGTCTGTCTGTCTGTCTGTCTGTCTGTCTGTCTGTCTGCCTGTCTGTCTCCCCCCTACCCCTCCCAGGGATGGAACTCAGGAACTTGAACTTGCCAGGCAGGCTCTTAAGCTGCTGAAATATCTCCCCAGCCCCGAAAATTTCTAACATGAGATGTAGAGTGTGAATTTTACGTAAGTTCTGCTTGTTTTTAGATCAGGGTGTTTTGTTAGAGCTGTTTTCACTTTCTTGTTAAAATACATTTGCATGTGTTTAGGTTTTAGCCACAATTCTACCTTGTCTCAACACTTAACATTTCTTTGTGGCCACAGTATCCATCTGTACTGTCTGCTTTATATCCCATGCCTGCCCTTATTCTTTTTCCTTTAAAAATAGAGCAAATAAAAATGAAGCTTCACCATTAGTCCTTTCACTTCTCCAATCAGTATTTCTTAAAGAAAGGACCTTGGTTCTGAAAAATATCCTATAATATTAAGAGAAATCATTTTCTCCTCTCTAATATATATAT